CATGCCACCTCCGTCGACACGGTGCGGTAACCGCGTATGGCTCTGACCGCCATTACCCTCTGAGGGCGCCAGAGGCGTACCCTATTCTGGGCGGTCAGAGCCGCCGCCCACACCGGTGCACCGTACAGTGCCATTGACGGGACAACCCCCGTGTACAGCCGTCTTGTCGCGACGCTGGGTCCACCCATATTGGGCAAAAGTCGCCCTAGGGCAGACGCAGCGCCGACCAGCTTTGGAGCAAGCTGTCGGAAGTGCTCGTCGAAGAGCCACCTCCCGTCGAGGATCAGGCCCAGATATTTCATCTGGGCCCGAACCGGTACGAGGACCGAGTTGACCATGATTGAGGCGCCAGGGGGTGGACCACGACGGGGCCCATGAAATAACAGGGCCTCCGTCTTATCTAGGGCCACCCGTAAGCCCAGCGCCTCAATGCGCCCGACCACCAGGGAGACTCCCCCTGTGGCCAGGCGCGCCGCCTCTTGGAAGTTTGCCCCCCGGGCTGTCACCAGTGTATCGTCTGCGTAACAGATTACACCCAGCCCGGGGGGGAAATCGGCGCGAAGGGCCCAGTCGTACCCTATGTTCCACAAGAGGGGTCCAAGAACAGACCCCTGTGGAACACCGCACGACATGGGCCGACACCTCAAATTACCCTCTCGGTCCTCGTACACGACGGTACGCTCCTCTAAATAGTCTGCCACTAGCCGCCTCAGGTACTTTGGCACCCCATGATAGTGGAGTGCTTCCCTGATGCAGCTGAATGGCAGACTATTGAATGCGTTGGCGATGTCTAATGACACCGCCAACAGCACGCCGCCACAGCTCACGGCCTCTTCGGTCACGGCCCTCAGGCGCAACACGGCGTCGACTGTCGAACGCCCCGCCCGAAAACCAAATTGGGCGTCCGACAGATCGGGGCCCATCTCGCAGAGGTGCCGGACGATGCGGGCAGAAAGAACCCTCTCAAACAATTTGCCCGCCTCGTCCAGCAGCACGATGGGCCTGTAGGCCGCGACCGAATCGGCAGGCCGTCCCGGCTTCCTCAATAGGACCAGCTTCCCGCTCTTCCAGCACTCAGGGAAGCGTCCCGACGCCAAGCTAGCGTCGAACACCTCCCCGAGGCGGTCTGCCATGTGGTTGAGGGCCAGGGCCAGCACTCGGGCCGGTACCCCGTCTGGCCCAGGGGCGGTGTTCTTGGAACGGATCCGTAGAACAGCCGCCCCTACCTCCGAATCCCGGACGGGCGGAACATTATCCTCCCCGTGCTCCCCGTCGTCTCCGGCTAGGGAGGCCATCGACGGGGGAGTGTGTTCCGCTCGTTGTGGGAAAAGGCCCTCAACCACTTCTCGCAGGAAGCTGGGCTGTAGAGTCTCCGTAAGGGGGGGGCCCGACGCGCGGAGCTTTTGTCGCACCGCGCGGTAAGGGCGACCCCAGGGGTCACGATTAAGACCCTCCAGCATCTCCTGTCTTTTTCTTCTTTGGCGCGGCTAATGGCCAGCTTCAGAGTTTTCCGCGCCCGTCGGTACTCCTCATGAAGCCGGTCCTCCTCACCGTCTCCACGGTGACGCCGCCGACTGCGCGTGTAGGACCTCCGGGCACGTGTACAGGCCGCACGGAGGTCCGCCAGCTCCTGGGACCACCAGTAGACCTCCTTCCTTGGAGGCCGACGACCTCGAATGCGGGGCATGGCCGCATCGCAGATATGCGTAATCGCATCGCGAAAGCGGCCAGCCCCCACGTCGACCTCCTCGGTCGGAGCCTGAGGCGACAGCCACGAGTGAATTATGGCTGCCTCCTCTAGTAGGTCCCGGTTCAGTCTGGCAACAGCCCACCGCGGAAAGCGGGATAACCGCCGCGCCACGTGACCCCTACTGGAGTCCTGGGTCCGGGAGAGCTCAAATCGGATATACAGGTGATCCGAGAGCGTCTCAACCTCTTCCAGGACACGCCAGTTCCTTACTCGTGCGGCGAGGGCAGGGGTAGCGAACGAGAGGTCCACTATCGACCCCCCCTGCTGTCGCACGCACGTGTTGGTGGAGCCTCTGTTTAGAAGACAGAGGCCCACCGAGGCCGCCCACTCTTCTACGGCCTCGCCCCTTGCGTCCGTCCTGGGGAACCCCACGCAATGGACTTTGCGTTGAAGTCCCCCAGCACAAGGACGTGCCCAGACGCTAGTCGCCGTATCGGGGTCTCCAAGCTGGTTAGGAAAACCTCGAAGTCGTTCAAACTCGGGTTGGGGGAGAAATAGACACCATATATGGTGATCCCCCCCCACTCGACGGCAACATATCCAGTGCCCTCGTCTCTTAGCGACAAGGGCGGGGAATGAGCCGTCGTGGAACCGACGACTGCCACGGAGCCGTCCCAGTCACCCATCCAGTTTGGACGGGGAGGGACAGAATAGGGCTCCGCGACTACGGCAACACCTATCGACCACTGTGCCATGGTTTGCACAAAGAGATCCTGCGCCGCGGCACAGTGGTTCAGGTTCGTCTGGACCAGGAGGTTGGAGACTTGATCCATTACTGGATCGTCTCTACAACCTCCTCCATGGGCGACGACGTCGACGCAATATTGACGTCGGGGGTAGCCTGGGTCGACTGGCTAGCCCCTGACGTCTGCCGAGAACTGCGGGGAGGCTTGCAGCCTCTCTGCCCCATCTGGTGATTGGCGGGCTTATTGCCCGCCGCACACGCTGGGCAGTGAGGGGCGGCAGAGCATTCTGCCGCCTTATGCCCCGGTTGACCGCAGCGGAAACACAGTCCGCCGCAGTCAAAACAACTGTCGCACTTGACGCGCGTGTGTCCCCGTGGCCAGGCATTTAAAACACCTCATCGGTCTCGCCGCCAGGACTGTGATCCTGGCGCTCACGAAACCGATGAGCAGCCTGCCGGCGTCGGCCAATACATTGGCCGACGCTACGGGACAGCTGACCCACACGGCGCCAAGCCCTCCTGGACCGGGGCGGATGGTGCCGACCCTGACGTTGTCCGCGCTGCACCCCGTCTTCTCCCGGATTACAGCGCGGACATCTTCGGCCGTTACGGAGTCGTCCAGGCCCGAGATGCGCAGCTCTGCGCACTTAGTAGGCCTGGCGATCTTTACACCATCCGTGGCTGTAAAGAGTCCCCGCAGCTTCTCGGCAAATGTGTCCGCCGTCTTAGCGCCTTCAGCCCCAGGGAACTCGAGGACTCGAGCTCCCGTCTGGGCGAGGCGCTTTCTGACCCCCACCGTCCCAAAGTCGTTGGCGAGGCTGTCCCGGGCCTTTTTAAAAACGGCCGCGTAGGACAGCCAGCCATCAGCCGCCTCCGGGGACACGGTCACAACTACAGCCGCGGTTTTGGGCGGCTGCAGCCACACAAACCCTATACCAACCCATCTGGCCAGCGTGGTATAGTAGTCCAAAACCTCCTTTCTAAGGAGAGGCCTATGTCCAGCAGTGGACTGTTATAGGCTGTTGATGTGATGTTGATGTGAAATCTAAACTCATTTAAGGGGGATTGGCCTAGATAGATATAGTTGCTACAGCAATATTTCTACAGTGTTTTTTTCATGGACAATTAAACATAAAATTCAAACACTTACATTACTTTTAAGTTTTGGTCATAAATATTTCTTTGTAATTTTGTATCTAATGTGCTGCATTTAAGGATACAGATTTTTTAAAATACGGTTCGATAGTTTACAATAAATTTCATCAATATTCAATGAAATTTAAAGTACAAATGTGTGTTCTAGTTAATTACATTATTTTTAATGCATTGATTTAAAGTCATTGAAAATTACTAAAAGAATATTTTATATAGGACTAGAACATGCAATCTAGTAAAACCAAAAATAATTAATATTGAAAATTAGATTTTAATTTTGTTTATGGGCTTGTCCATTTCTGGATAAAGGCCTCCTCCATCCTATGTCATTTGTTTCTATCGGCGGCCAGTCGTGTCCAGGTGCTCCCGGCTATGACAACGATGTCGTCGCACCAACTGCGAAGCGCTCGTCCCTGTGCACGGTGTCCATCTCGTGGGTGCCAATGAAGGATTCTTTCACTCCATCTGTCATCTGAGGCCGACGCCGACGCGCTATTGATGCCATTCTGCTTAACCTTGAACCGATGATACTTAGAAGTGAGGTCGCGTCATCTACCGACTGACCTAGGTACTCACTGGGCATAGTTGTTTCGGTGAGTACCTGAATCTGATCGGATGCGAGGAGACGGCACAATGCCAGCTACTGGAACTCAGACAGGGCCTAGTTAGACGACGTCGATCCGGGGGAGCCTGAGATCACATGGTACGGGTCCTTCCCGAAGTAGCCGAAGTAGAAGCGTCTGTGGCCCTGGAGGACCCGGAGATCCGAAGGGATTTTTCCCCCCGTCACCCAAGACAAAAAGGTATGATATCTCTCGAAATAAGACCTTAAAAAAGTAAAATGTGGTATATTCACATACATATAAGTAGTAGTAATAATAATGGTATATAGATTTGGGTGAGGATTTGTACTTATTGACTAATGAACCAAAATCAAAACCTTAAAAGACTTAAAATAGTTTTTAATTAATCTAATAATTCAATTCTAAAGAGATTCCTACTCGCATTTGACAATCACACCATGTACAAAGAAAATCGTAATAAAGTATTATTCTTCAATAGTTTATTTCGTTTAATTGATTAAAATGAGACATTTAAACTTTCTCAGCGTGGTATTTTAGGTTTACAAATATAGCAAACGGTTTTTAGATATTTTGTAAACCAACATAATGTATCGCTACCCATGGAGGGCAAGCTAAATTGCCTTAAACAACGGGTCCTTTACTGTCAAGTAAACTAATATTATTCAAATATAATATAAAAAATATTTTATCTTCTTATCCTTTGGCACCCGAGATTCCAGGAACATCTTTGATTGAACAATTGCACTCTATTTCTCAAATTACTGGACGTCGTGCAAAATTCGTAAATTGCTATGCAACAATACAAGCAATAAACATTTACTTAAAGTTAATCATTAAAATAGGCTAGTCCAGAAAATGCTATAATATCAGTTGGAGCAACATACAAAACGAAATCAATAACAGAAGGTCCAGATTCATACCAAAGTTTGCATTGTATCGCCAACGACACTCCCATTGTAAAATCAGAAATCTGTATTGCTATTAAATGAGATCTACCACTGCTGTATAAAGGAAACGATTCTGAATCAATTCCAGGTGGATTAGGATAGTATTTTATACTGCCAATGTGTTCTTTGTCATATGCATGGTACCCGCTGCATTCCACCCAAAGTTTATTCTTGTCAATCATCATCCACTTGATTACATCTGGAGGAATTATGCTTGTATTTGTTGTATTCAGCTGCAAAGGCTTACCTGACCAGTAGAAATGCTTGTTAATTTTTATAATTATACAGGGATTTTCTCCATAACCATAAGGCGGTCGTCCACACGGGCCAAGATTCTCCATAACCCGTTCTGTATTGTTACTGTTGCTAAGAAGAAATTTTTCGATTGCTTTGATATATTTTTTATAATCACTCTTCTCGCCTTTTCTATACCAAATTAATGGATTGGTGCTTTCTGATGTTGGTATTGCAGTAAGACCAATACCAGATAATGGATAAACTAAAGCTGATGGTTTTAGGGTCTTAAAATCAGTGGTTTGTTTTATCACAAGTAATGTTAAGTAGAGAATTACTAAAGTATATGTACATAAAAACAATAGGTAAATGATCCCATATGCAATAATTTTACCCCAACTTTCACATGTTCTTCCACAGAACTGTTTAGTTTCCCTATTGTAAAAATTCTGCATAAAGCTCTTCGGTGGTGGGTTAACTGTATCATCTGTTCCTGTTTTTTGTACATTTGAAGGTGCAGTTGAGGGTAGTGAGGGGTCGTTGGCTCCTATTTGTTCAAGATGAATTTTATCAGGCATTATTCTATGAACAAAATGTTATTCAACTTCAAAGATAAAGCAAAACACGTAAACGAATATTCCTGTTGGCATTGCTTACAATTGTCAATGACTGTCCTGATCCAATAACTTTGCTTGTCTATGCTTGGCTCAATATGCAATACATCATGGTAAAACCTAAAGTGATAAACCTTTGTGGACTAATTATTTCCAATTACCAAAGCATATTTTTAAATACAATAAGAATTTTGTAAAGCGAATGAGAAACGTACCGTTGAAATTAAAAGTAAAAATTACATTAAGGCATAATAATTCACTTTAAAGTAGGTAGGCAGTTCTGCGACACATAACAGGGGTATATTCGCACTTACACTTCTGTTTGGTATTTATTACACGTCGTAAAACCCTTGTAGGTAATAAAACTATAAATCCGACATTGAGGTTGAATAAGTAAGCTATCAAATGATATTCTTCAAAAATCAAGAAAACGTTTACGTCGAGCCATTTTTAAGCGATGGTCGCTTAGGCGTCGATAAAGTTTTATTGTTTTGGGAGGCAACGAAAACGTATATTATACGATACCATTGTCCTTTGTCCTCTATATGTAAAAAAAACTAATGGTATGTAAGAAAATGTATGAAATTTGCTAAAAAATTAATGGATACATTAAATCTGACCAATATTTTTATTAAAGCCTTAGTTCACGACCTGAAAGACTCTCTTGGAAAGAAAATAAGAAATTTTTAATTTCTTTACTGGCTTTTGTCAGCTTTTATAATTGCAAGCTAATTAAAAGATACAGTTTCTCATTCTCCTTAGAACTAAAAGTTTAGTTTGTTTTATAATAGTTTTTTTTAGGTTCTGCGCCGTTTACTTACTATTTTATATTGTTTCTCTGGTATTCACAAAATCAGCAAAAGTAGTTCCCATTAAAGTATAGGTGCCCTGCCAACAAGTATAGGTTAGGTACTTAACAAATAATAACCACATTGTTTGAAGTCACATTGTTTCATCTAAATGCGACATGAGCTATTTTTGCCAACTAAACACTTGTGTTATGTTAGTTTTGCTTAGGTGGAGCTTGTGCAAGCTCTATAGGCTTTGACGTCACAGCTTAGTAAACACACCCGGCATGAGCTAATAAGAACAGAAACTCACAGTTTAACTCTTGTATGACATATTTCTTTTATTATTTGGCTCACGGAGTTTCTCTTATTTAAGTAGGCACTCATTTGCAGTATTATTGCATGTCTGACAACTTTGCATAAAAATACAAAATTAATTAAATAACAATGTAACATCTGTATTTCAATTTTTTTAAGGTAAGGAGTAGGAGTATAACCTGTGTCGTGGGGGACTTTACAGACATACATGAAACAGACACAAAGAACACCAAAACAAAAAGTTATCTTCTCCGATAAAGCGCATTTCAAAATTGACGAATTTGGGGATCGTGCAATTCATGAGAAACAAATGCACCCACAACGAACAACTGTCTGGGCCTTACTTTTTTTGAAGATGAGGCCGAAATTGCTGTGAACGGCATTCGGCTTTTTGGTAAAATTGAAGGTCTTATCTGTGCCATTTTGGGTATGGTTTTCATGACAAAAATCTTCGTAAATAAAATCTAAAATATTGGACAGTTGACGTCCACCACACATGACACCGTCTTGATGACTACACTATCATTTCTAATAATAATTTGTTTATACTTATCTCATCAACGATGAGTATTTGCATAGAGACAACTATTCAGTAGCAATTTTTCTACAAAAACAATTTTAAAATTTGTTAATTAAGAGTCCATTTTATAGTCGGCATCGATCAAACGTTTCTGACAGTGCTATCGTTGTAAATAAGCTTGATGTAGTGGCGATAGACCCAATAAAGCGCCACACAGTAATTTTTGGTATCGCCGTTCATTATGACGAGAATCTTGTGAAAGTTGAAAAAGTAAACATATTTTATACTTAAAATATATACAAGGTGTAGGGGAACATCGTACCGCATACTGAAATAGTGTCTTACACCATGTATATTTGTCATACGAGACTTTCGATATATTTAATGGAGATTCGATATGCATAAAAAAGAAAGTGTGGTGTCGTGGGACACCCGATAGGAACGAAGTTGTGACGATCGAGTAAAACTGATTCGACACGATTTTAATTACAACGCCATCTATGAAAGCGGCTATTACCAACATATTTTTCAGTTGGTTTCTAATTAAAACAATTTATACATTGGTAAAATCTCCTTGAGAAATGATTTCCTATCTATTCGATAAATGGCGCTGAATGACTGACAAGTGACAATTCAAAATAAATACTGAGATGAAAAGTAATGATTTCCTATCTATTCGATAGATGGCGCTGAATGACTGACATAAAAAGTGTCGTTACAACTTTTCGTGAGATTTTTTTCCGTCTAGCCCCCTTTCACAACGCGCGATAAGGAACTTCGTTCCAAAAATGATTTGGAAATCGAACTCGTCATCCTTGATGGAGCAAATCTGAGTATTATAAATATTCAAATATAATATTCATCACTAAAATAACATACAATCAAAAACCGTTTTAACTTAAGTTTGTTAACGGTTTCTTGATTTTTTGAAATTATCTTTGAAGATTAATAATATTAATAGAATTTTTTTGATGACAAGACTTAAGGGATCATCTGTGACAATAAGGCCTGCACTGCACTAATTTACCATATTTACCATGTTTTTTTCGGGACCTAATTCCCGCTAAAAACATGGTAAACATGCTATTTATATTTGTTTTAACTTTAACTTATTGACTTAATTAAAAAGTTGAATATTTAGGAGATAAATAAATCGAGTAAAGTGCGGATAGTAACGAAATCAATGTTGTATACCTTTAAATGCCAATTACGTTTCAAAGAAATTGCAATAGCATTACCATGATTGCAATGGCTGTGTCGTGAGTTACTCTGTGATCTGATCAAACTTATTGGTCTGGCGCGAATCGATCAGCAAATCAAAGTCTACAAAACTAAATTTAGTTATAAATTTATCTTCCTTCTCATCAATCAATTAGAAGGTACGAATGTTCACTCCAATGCGACTCATAAAAAAACTGTTTTTTTGTTAATACTATTATAAAATTTCTGTGTTCTTATTTCAATATATAAAATGGTGTGGTATCAGGAAAAATATTAAAGACGACAGTTTCTACTTAACAGAGAGATTCCACAATATAGGTCAAGTCTATATAAAAGTCTAAATGAATCATTCGCGACAAATAACAATTCTAGATTCTCCTTACAAAACATCGCAGTAAACACTAGAGAGCGGCAATAAAATGGGAACAGAGGTCGGCTTACGAACAAACTGATATCAAACCAGTTGAGAATCGGTCCCAAGGGAAATGACACATTAGGAAAAAACCTCAAAATCCACGCGACCCGTACTTGCTCTTATCTGTTTTATAGATCCTGTTGGTTGTAAAATTTTCTTCTTGTCACTTATGCTTTTTAATTTTACCATTTATTTATATTAGGGAATGAATCAGGAAGATGTACTAATACCAGGAAATTATTGACAAAATATAGAGAAAGATTTGATTCGTTATCTGTCTTATTTTATGACGTAGTGGAGAAATGAGCAGACGGGTCACCTGTAGAAAACTAAGTACTGCCTCCCCTGCATACCCGCAATTCAATCATCTCAAGTGGACGATTAAAAATGTTGTGCCAAGTAATATCTTCTTCTTTCTGATCCTTGTGGTGACGGGTTAAAAATACGGAGTATAACCCCCCCCCCCCCCCCTATTCATCCCGTGGGTGTCGTAAGAGGCGACTAAGGGAGATAACTAGACAAGACAACAGCACTGTAAAGAGAAGGAAAAGTTGACATAAACCCTATACCAAACCGTCTGGCCAGCGTTGTTTAGTAGGCCAAAACCTCATTTCTAAAGGCTATAGACTATTAAAGGCTGTTGATATGATGTGATGATGTAAATATTTTCCAATAAAATTTATATCTCGTATGTATTTAAAAATATATAAGTATGTTTATCAGCAGTCTGGTTACCATAGTACACGCTCTGCCTAGTTTGGGATCAGACGACCGTGTGTGAGATATTATTAGTATAGGTAACTTAGTAAAGTAAAGTAATCTTTATTGTTTTGATTGAGTAGATACAGTTGTTGTAGGTACATTATTACCGAAACAATAAAGATTAATATTATAATTGATGTTACTATAATATTTTATAGTAACATCAATTGATGTTACTATAATATTTTATAGTAACATCAATTAGCCCATTTTGGACATACAATAATTTAAAGATTAAGAAAATAAGGAATAACAATATATTGAATATCTATACTTGTTTAGTAAACTCTAAAAATTCTTTAACAGTGTAGAAGCATTTTTCAGTTAGCCATTTCTTAAGGCGTACACCAAACAACTTAAAGGTTAATTCTCTCAGATATTCGGGGATTTCGTTATAGATCTTGACACACATAAACATGTCGTTTTTAATAAAGAGCAGTCCTGCATTTTTTTAGAACTATCTTCGTATAATCCCGTTGACTGAAGAGACTATTAAGCTGTTTTTTTTTTTTTAATAGTTGTAGGTGTTTCCTGACAAACAGTTCAATTTCCAAAATGTAAAGAGAGCTTACAGTAAGTATTTTAGATTTTCTGAAAAGCGTCCTGCAGGAATCTAAAGGTAAAACTGTGTTTACATCTTGTGAATGTGTGGCTCGTTCTTTCATAAATAAATTTGGCACGGGAATTCGTTACTGTGTGTGTTCTAGTTAAAATAAAAGTGAAATAAACGCACTGACAAACACGTTAAACGCATTATATTCATCTCAAATTTTTCAATTCTGTATTCTATTATGTTTTTTTTCTATTTCTACTCGTATTGTTATCGAATAGAAAAAAAATGTATCACATATTCTTGATAAGGAAAAAATAAGCAACTTAGATTAAATAGTGATGTACAATATTGGTTAATTAATTATTTAAATATACCTACAAAAATAAA